AATATATTTGGAAAATTAAAGACTATCATTATTCCTTCTGGGAAAATAAATTTTAAACAATTTTGAAAGAAATTTGACAATCGAATAGTTTGGCACAATTAATAGCGGTTCCTTAAAATAAAACACAGGAAATATAAAAGTATTATTAGCAACTAGAAGTGAAACAAAGTAAAAAGCGCGACGGCTGTGTCTGAACCAACCCAGAGGAAGGTACAGAGAATTAGAGGGGAGACTCAATGGGCCTCCACATAAATTCTTCTCTTAACTGTTTTTCTTAACCATATACATAGTTCTTAGAATGATTTAAATAATGTTCAGTGTGAGCATTCCTGCCTTCTTTCCGTCGCCTCGCCAACACCTACGTGTACATTGGAGGGATCCAATATGCGTCTCATAGTTTGTTTGCTTGCCTTTCATTAGCTAGCTGTAGGCAGAGGTTTTTTGCCTGTCAACACCTAAAATTTGGGGTTTTTTTTGCTGTGTGTTGCTTGTTGTTTTAAGAAGACACAGGGTTTTTCTCTCAGGCTTGTGTCTCAAAGTTGTTTGGTTCTTTGTATTGTTCTTTGTAGAGCCCTCTCCGCTGGACTATGCCTCTCCAGCCAGCAAATCTTCAAGTTCCCTCACATAATGTCCCCTTGCGAAGACATCAAAAAGCGGTTCTTGCCTTGCCAGAAGTGGGATAACGGAACCCATGAACGTTTTATTGGCTCCAGAAAAGATTTTGGAAAAACAGTAGTGTGGTGCTTTGGCAGTAATATTCCCCAATTACCCCAGCACAGAGAAAGTGAGCGCTTATTGTAGAAGGCACGCAACGTTTTGTTGTGAATCACAGATTTCCACCTGCTCATCCGGATACCCATGCTGGGAAAGGTAATTGATAATTTTCTTCAGATTTCCCCTCTGTTCCTCTATAAATAAAATACCGCTGTTTATCTTGCAATTAGATATACAATAAAAAGCTATTGTACTAGGCTGGGGCGCGGTGGCTCATGCCTGTAATGCTGAGCACTTGGGAGTCGAGGCAGGGCAGAATCCACCTGAGGTCGGAGTTGGAGACCAGCCTGGCCAACATGGTGAAACCCCATCTCTACTAAAAATACAAAAATTAGCTGGGCGTGGTGGCAGGTGCCTGTAATCCCAGCTGCTACTTGGGAGGCTGAGGCAGGAGAATTGCCTGAACCCCGGAAGGTGGAGGTTGCAGTGAGCTGAGACCGCACCATTGCACTCCAGCCTGGGCGACAGAGCAAGACTCTGTCTCAAAAAAAAAAAAAAAGCATTGTATTTTTATTTTTCTGCCCTCATACATTTGTGAAGGGAGGGCAAGCTGGTAAAAGCCTAATACGTGTTGGTATTTCAGGGTGGGGAGAGTTCTTCATTTACAAAGCCAGTATAGTAAAATGAGCCCCACAAAAGAAAATAAAACCTATTTGGAAACGATGAAAAAATAACCTGCTAAATCTCATTCTCTGCTCCTCCACAAATTCACTCTAAGTAATGTTTTCAGAGTTTCATAGGTCAAAGATGCTGGGGGTAAGGTGAGACCTAAATCTTGCTCCCTTTTTAAAAAAAAAAAAACAGTATTAGGCAAATGTTCTACATGGCACAAGAACAAAGCCATTTTACTGAAAACCATTTCCCTGCCATCTATTGCAAGTTTTATGCTTGGCAACAGATGCTATGCTGTCATTTTCTAATGCTTCCATTACTATTCAAGTTTTTTGAAATGTAATCTTTAAGTGGAGTCTTTAAACCTAGTTGCTTTGTTGTTTGTTTCACGATTGCCCTCTTTATTCTTCATGGTCCATTCTCTGTGCTGCTTCATTCAGATTTACCCTCTTCTTAACCATCTCTGGCCCTCAGATTTTTAAGGTTAGAGTTTAGGAAATGGAAATAGCCTACTAAGAAGGAAAACTGTCCGGGAAGGAGTCTCAGAGCCTGGGCTAGGAGTTAAGAGATTGTCTTTTTGGCCAACCATAGACCTTAACCCAAGGAAGAGCAAATTGGGATAAGAGTAAAAATAGTAATAATAATGATATTATACATGTAGATTTGGCTTTTGATGATTTTCATTTACTTAGAAGTAGATTTTATTTTGTTTAGAGATCTAACCTCAGGACTTTGAATTAATTTAAACTGAGTTAGAAATTTGAATCGATCACACTAATTTATTGAATTCTAGGCTAAATAGAATCCAGCTATTCAAATATATGTGTATTTGAACATATAAATTCACAGTGAACTACTTTTTTTTTTTTTTTTTTTTTGAGATGGAGTCTCGCTCTGTCACCAAGGCTGGAGGGCAGTGGTACAATCTCGGCTCACTGCAACCTCCGCCTCCCGGGTTCAAGCAATTCTCCTGCCTCAGCCTCCCAAGTAGCTGGGATTACAGGTGTGTGCCACCACACCCGGCTAATTTTTGTATTTTCAGTAGAGACAGGGTTTCACCATGTTGGTCAGGCTGGTCTTGAACTGACCTTGTGATCCGCCCACCTCAGCCTCCCAGAATGCTGGGATTACAGGCACGAGCCACTGTGCCTGGCCACAGTGAACCACTTTTTAATTAGAGCCAAACCTGTCTACATATTTCTTAAACATCTGAATTAAGATAAAAGTAGAACATTAACACATTTTCTAGACTGGCCCTGTATTTTTTTATCAGGCTTGAATTCCTGTTCTCAGTTTGGATATTACCAGCATTCCCACCCCTTGAAAAAAGTGTTTCTCAGTGCAGGCTGGCTGTTTTAGGTATGTTGCCTCTGAAAGTCGTGATCAAGAGAAGAAAGGCAAATGTTTTCTGGGTAATAGATTCTTGGGTGAAACTGGTTTTCTGAACCTTGGAATGGGTTGTCCCATGAAGAAGACAGTCTGGTTCTTTATCTGTATGGTTCATTCAGCTGAATTGGCAAGGTCGTAAATTCTGTAAGTTATTTAGATTTGTTCTGTTCTGTGGCTACCTGTCCTGTGATTATATACAGTACTTCTGAGCCTAGCCAGTGAGCTTATAGATGTGGGCCACTAGTCACAAGGGGAGAAGCTGAGAGAAAGAGAATGGATTAATGCAGATCCATGCCATTACTAAATACTCTGAGCTGAAGTCCTACTGATGATAAATAGGGAGGATTATATTTACAATATGTACACTATTTTTATTCAAAGCTCTCTGAGCTAGACTTCATTCAACCAGAGCATTCCAGAAAAACATCTGCATTCTTTGGAGGCTACTTTTATCAAGATGGATTTCTTATGTGTGGTACAGTTACTTGGGAAGCATGTAAAATTGAATCATTTTCTTTCTTTTTTTTTTTTTGTTTTTGAGACAGAGTCTCGCTCTGTCACCCAGGCTGGAGTGCAGTGGCACAATCTCGGCTCACTGCAAGCTCTGTCTCCTGGGTTCACGCCATTCTCCTGCCTCAGCCTCCTGCACAGCTGGGACTACAGGCGCCCACCACCTCGCCTGGCTCATTTTTTGTATTTTTTTTTTTTTAGTAGAGATGGGGTTTCACCATGCTAGCCAGGATGGTCTCAATCTCCTGACCTCGTGATCCACCTGCCTTGGCTCCCAAAGTGCTGGGATTACAGGCGTGAGCCACCGCGCCTGGCCGAAATGGAATCATTTTCAGACCTTTGAAAAGCAGCCAGTTCAGGCTGGAGGACAACAGTTGTGAACAGCTGAACAGCAACACTTCCCAGCAGTTTAAGGAAGGAAATGGCAGTAAGCCCCCATTTGATTGGGAAGTCAAATCTTAGGCTGGTTGAAGATAGCAGCTGCCTGCCCTATCCTTTGTGTTATCTAACCATTCCACAGCTCATACACAGAAGTGCAGCAGGAGTGGAAGTCATGGGGTCATTCTGCAGGGGATCTGACAGAGGGAGGAAGGATGGGGAGAGGCGAATAAGAAAAGCTCTCCTCCCTGTACTCTCATGACTTCCCTGTACTCTCATGTTAGTTCATGCTAACAGCAAGCCTGTCTCTCTGAAATGCAGTAAACTGCTGATAAGCCTAATGCCTACCCTCTTCTACTCGATCTGAAAATCCCATCATTAGTTATTCTTTGTATTGAGTAAGGCCATTTTTCCCCCAGAGCTCCACTATTAAGACATACCAGGAAAGCATTAACATAGCTGCATCTAACAGAAGATGAGATGTTGAAAAGTAAAGTTCAGAAATATTGATGAATGGCATATTAGATAGGTCAGTGTTGACAGACGAGGAGACAGGGATAAAAAGGAGCTTAGATGCTGTCTTCCTGAGCTGTCAGTATAGAAAAGCAGGTTCTTGGGCATTGGGGAGGGCATGAAAGGCCACCATCTCAACACAGATATTTTCCAAGGGCCACCTCTGCAGTTGCTGTTTACTGCATTTACTGCCAAAGAAACTCACTACAGATGAACTTTGTGGACTTGATCCTTCATTCTTCTTGGCACACAAATGCTTAAAGCAGTTGCCTTCTTTTCCTGTCTGAAGGGAGTTTCCTAAGACTTGAGTTGTCTTGTAGGCATTGGGTCCCAGTGCTATGTTTTTAATTTATACCATGAGAGAGTGGGATGGAGTCTTCCAGAATGAGGTGGAGAAAGGAGAAGTCTCATCTGTGAAGAATCATGCTGGAGAAGATAACATTATTGCCTGGGTATCTTTCAGGATGTTTGGACCAGGAAGAGAGTACAACTTCACTCGGCCCAATGAGAAGGGAGAGTATGAGATTGCTGAAGGCATCAGTGCAACTGTATTTCGCACAGTGCTGGTGTGTGGTAGCCTTTTTTGTTACATTCTCTTCCCCAGGGGCATGTGTGATCAATAGCCTTGAGAGTTCCATCAACTATGTTATTGACTTTAGGGTCTCTGGTTTCCAGTTGTTTCCTTTCTCCCTTTGTTTTCTGTTCCTGTAACTTTTAAGTCCTTGCTTGTTTGTGTGTGAGCTCTATCAGTTACCAAGTTCTGATTAAACAAGTCAAGATAGCCAGGAGCTGTTTTGCCATCTAATGAATCATCCAATTTGGTGATAATTCCGGTAGCTCATTGCTTTAACAACCAGGAATGCATAGGGATGAAGAAGTAATTTTTCATCTTGTTCTTTGCCTACATTTTTTCTTCCTAATCTATTTACAGGACTATTACAAAACCGGTATCATCAATTGTCCTGATGGCATCTCTATCCCAGATCTTAGAGATACATGTGATTATCTCTGCATTAATTTTGATTTCAACACTATCCGATGTCAAGATCTGAGTAAGTACAGGAGCAGCTGCCAGCTGCACTTAACCAGCTGAACTTTGTGTTTTCTTGTAAGTCACTGATTTTTTTTGTTGTTGTTTTTGAGACAGAGTCTCGCTCTGTTGCCAAGGCTGGAGTGCAGTGGCGTGATCTCAGCTCACTGCAACCTCCACCTCCGGGGTTCAAGGGAATCTCCCTGCCTCAGCCTCCCGAGTAGCTGGGATTACACACGCCTGCCACCACGCCTGGCTAATTTTTGTATTTTTAGTAGAGTCAGGGTTTCGCCATGTTGGCCGGGCTGGTTTTGAACTCCTGACCTCAGGTGAGCTGCCCGCCTTGGCTTCCCAAAGTGCTGGGATTACAGGCGTGAGCCACCAAGCCCAACTGACATTTTCTATTATTAAACAGAAGGAGTTTCACGTGTAGGTTGAAAATCTTCTGCAGAGGCAGAGATGTGATACTGACTAACCCTTTTCCTCTCTTGGTTCAAAGCACTGTGAGAAACTGGAGCAGACAAAGGAAAACAGATAGTAGTTTCTAAATGGAGCTTGACCAGTGGGAGACCAAGCTGACAGCTTCCCTCTTGGGACTTTGGTGTCTCAACTCTAACAAACAAGGATACTGATTGTCCAACATGAGGAACAGTTCACTAATAAAGTCAAATAGCACAAATTGGCCAGGTTCTCCTGATCATTATATTGCCCCCTTTTTTTTTTTTTAATTTGAGATGGGGTCTTGCTGCTATGTTGCTCAGGCTGGTCTCAAACTCCTGGCCTCAAGCAGTCCTCCCACCTCAGCGTCCTGAGTAGCTGGGACTACAGGTACATGCCACCACACCTGGCTATTATTATTATTTTGTTTTGGAGACAGAGTCTCACTCTGTCACCCAGGCTGGAGTGCAGTGGCACAATCTCAGCTCACTGCAGCCTCCACCTCCTGGATTCAAGCAGTTCTTCTGCCACAGCAGCTGGGATTACAGGTGCATGCCACCATGCCCGGCTAATTTTTGTATTTTTAGTAGAGATAGGGTTTACACCATGTTGGCCAGCCTGGTCTCGAACTCCTGACCTCAAATGATCTGCCACCTCGGCCTCCCAAAGTGCTGAGGTTACAGGCATGAGCCACTGCGCCCAGCCTATAATTATTAACTTAGTGTTTGCTAAGTGCTTTATAGATATGGACTTGCTTAAATCTTTAACAATCCTGAAAGATGGGTGATAACCTCATTTAAGAAATCAGCTTGTTCAGAGCTCTAGGCATTAAGGCTAGGATTAGAACTCAGATTGTCTGACTGCAAATTCCATGCTCTTATTACCTGGGCTTCCTGAAATTATTTAAATAACTATTCTTTGAATTTCATGATACATTTCCCTGCATGTTGCATGAAGTACATGTGATTTCTCTACTGAGTGTATTACACATTTAGAGTAAGTCCTTTGGTGTCACCAAAATTCAGATTATTCCTCTATTATGGTACTCTAACTCCATGAAATCAGGATCCAAACCATCTTCAGAAGAGGTACTACAAATGATGATTTCATCTCTTACAGAATGAACATTTATGGTCTGACCTTGTATGTCCAACAAAACCCCAGCTGATCAGAATGCTCAAGGATTACTAAACATGAGTAAATTGAAGAGTGGTAGAATAGGAGACATACCTTAACAAAGCTTAATTATCACCTTGGAGCAGGAAACAATCTCTTTGCCTTTAAATGTGCCACTTCTCTGAACCTCATCAATGATAACAGCCATTCCCTCATAGTCTTTTTCTCTCCAGTAATATGTGCATTTAGGCAGAAAGCATGTTCACCCACATTTTCTCTCTGCAGGTGCTTTACTGCATGAACTGTCCAATGACGGTGCTCATAAGCAGTTTGATCACTACCTCGAAGAGCTGATCTTGCCTATCATGGTGGGCTGTGCCAAGAAAGGAGAGCGAGAGTGCCACATTGTTGTGCTGACGGATGAGGATTCTGTGGACTGGGATGAAGACCACCCTCCACCAATGGGGGAGGAATATTCCCAAAGTAGGAGCTTCTGGCATGGTGTAGATGTTTTCAGCAAGAAACTCGCTACCTGGAGTAGCAGCTTGATCCTAGAACCACTGTGAATATCAATGTTGAGCCTGTGATGAGCACACTCACCTGGATGACAAATCCCTAGTGATGCAGGGCTAGCCTTTATGCTGGGGAACACAGGGAATGTTGTTACACCATTCACTCTTTCTCTGGTGTCTCATACTGTGTAAGATACTGAAGCAGCACATTAAATGATGGTGTCATTCTTCTCTTAATTCATTTTTAGATCCTTTTGAATTGGTAATCAGAATTCAAAAAACATAACAGGATATACACTAAAAAGTCTTACTCTCACTCCTGCCCCATCCAGTTTTGCTTCTCAATTTCTTTTACAGGCTTCCAAGTATATTCAATGTACATAGATAACCAATTACTTGTTTTCTCCTCCTTTTTCATGTACCATATTATACAGCTCTTCTGTGCCATGTGTTAACAAAAATCTTCGATATTATGGGCCGGGCACGGTGGCTTACGCCTGTAATCCCAGCACTTTGGGAGGCTGAGGCGGGAGAATCATGAGGTCAGGAGTTTGAGACCAGTCTGGCCAACATAATGAAAGCCCGTCTCTACTAAAAATACAAAAAATTAGCCAGGCATGGTGGTGTGTGCCTGTAGTCCCAGCTACTCAGGAGGCTGAGGCAGGAGAATCAGGTGATCCTGGGAGACAGAGGTTGTAGTGAGCCGAGATCGCGCCATTGCACTCCAGCCCAGGTGACAGCGTGAGACTCCGTCTCAAAAAAAAAAAAAAAAATCTTTGACATTCTTTTTCTGTGGCTCTATAGTATTCCCTTGCACAAATGTGCCATAATTGATTTAACCAGCCATTCCTGGACATTTAAACTATTGGCCAGGCGCAGTGGCTCATGCCTGTAATCCCAGCACTTTGGGAGGCCGAGGTGGGCGGATTGCTTGAGGTCAGGAGTTCACGACCACCCTTGCCAATATAGTGAAACCCCGTTTCTATTAAAAATACAAAAATTAGCTGGGCGTGGTGGCTCATGGCTGTAATCCCAGCTACTCAGGAGGCTGAGAGGCAGGAGAATCACTTGAACCCAGGAGGTGGACGTTGGATGTTGCAGTGAGCCAAGATCACGTCACTGCACTATAGCCTGGGTGACAGAGCGAGACTCCATCTCAAAAAAAAAAAAATTATACCTTTATAATTTTGATAGATGTTGCCAAATTATGCTCCATAAAATTTGTACCAATTTACACTCACAAAACAATACATGACAGGTTTGTTTCCCACCCCCTCACCAAAACAGTGGCTTTTTTTTTTTTTTTTTTTTGAGACAGAGTCCTGCCTCCTGGGTTCAAGTGATTCTTATGCCTCAGCCTCCCAAGTAGCTGGGACTAGAGGTGTGTGCCACCACGCCTGGCTAATTTTTGTATTAGTAGTAGAAACAGGGTTTCACCATGTTGGCCAGGCTGGTCTCAAATTCCTGACCTCAAGTGATCCACCCACCTCAGCCTCCCAAGTGCTAGGATTGTAGGCGTGAGCCACCATGCCTGGCCAACAGTGGCTTTTGAAAAAATTTTTTTACAGATAGAATCTTGCTCTTTCACCCAGGCTGGAGTGCAGTGGTGCAACCATGGCTCACCGCAGCCTCAAACTCCTAGTCTCAAGTGATTCTCCCACCTCAGCCTCCAAGTAGCCTGGGCTGCAGGTGTGTGCCACCATGACTGGCTAATTTTGTGTGTGTGTGTGTAGAAATGGGGTCTATGTTGCCTTGCCTAGGCTAGTCTCAAACTCCTGGCCTCAAGCCATCTTCCCATATCTGCCACCCAAAGTGTTGGGATTACAGGCGTGAGCCACTGTGCCTGGTCCCAAAACACTGTTTTTAAGACTTTTATCTTTGCTACTTTCTTAATAGGTAAAAAACCGCAGAATCTCATGATTGGCATGAGTTTTAATTACATTTTTTATTTCATGAGTGAGGCTGAAATTTTTTTTTTTTTTTTGAGATGGTATCTCCCTTCTCTTGGCCAGGCTGGAGTGCAATGGCATGATCTCGGCTCACTGCAACTTCCCGCCTCCTGGGTTCAATTGCTTCTCCAGCCTCAGCCTCCCAAGTAGCTGGGATTACAGACACCCACCACTACGCCTAATTTTTGTATTTTTAGTAGAGACGGGGTTTTACCATGTTGGCCAGGCTGGTCTCCAACTCCTGACTTCAACTGATCTGCCTGCCTCAGCCTCCCAAAGTGCTGGGATTACAGGTGTGAGCCACCACACCCAGCCAAAACCTTTTTAGTTTTCAAGAGCCATTGTAATTTCCTTTTTTGTTAATGGTGTTTGTGCCTTTTGCCCCATTATGAAATCAGATTGTTAGTCCTTTTACTTAGTGATTTGTGAAAGTTCTATTTGTGGCGGCTCTTTCTAATTAAGGAAATTAGCCTTTTATGAGTTGCAAATATTTTCTCATTCAGTTGTCTTTTTAGCTTTGGTAAATGGTGGTTTAGGCTATGCAGAGATGTTATATTTCTATAATCATCAGATTTTATGACTTCTAGGTTTAACGTTGTACCCAGAAAGTCCCCACCCTGAGACTATAAAAATTTCTCTTATGGGTTATGTATTATTTAACATTTAATCTTTGATCCATCTGGATTATTTGGGATTAGTGGTCAAGTATATCTTTCATTAGTTTGATTCTGTTAGCTTATCTCTTTCCTCTTAGGTCTTTACTCCATGGCTAACCCCTATTTTTTCTTTTACAGTTCTTTATAGCTCCAAGCTGTACAGATTCTTCAAATATATTGAGAATAGGGATGTTGCAAAAACAGTGTTAAAGGAACGGGGCCTGAAAAACATTCGCATTGGAATTGAAGGTAAAAAAAAAAAAAAAAAAAAAAAATCCCAGTCAATATTCAGGTTGGGTCTATGGCCACAGCTTATGTCCTCAAAATTTAGCCTCCAGAGGGCCTAGAAAATAGGCATACATGAAAACCACATTCTTACTCAAGTTTGAAGGGTTCCTGTTTTTGTTTTTGTCATTTTTCTTTTCATTTTATCTCCAGTTGAAAATGGTTCAGAGCAGCCACAGAAACAAGTTCGAATTTACTACTTCAGGATAAAGAGCAGTGAGGGCAAAGGACAGTGGTAGGGAGATACAGCAGGGTTTGTGGGCTCACCAGGTGAGAGCGTCGTTCTGCCACCAGTCTTGGTGAAGATGTTTCTGGCATCTGGAAGGGTCCTTCTGAAAAAATAACTTGGGGACTCAAAATTTAAGATTATTCCAGCCGGGCGCAGTTTCTCATGCCTATAATCCCAGCACTTTGGGAGGCCAAGGCAGGCGGATCACTTGAGGTCAAGAGTTTGAGACCAGCCTGACCAACATGGAGAAACCCTGTCTCTACTAAAAATATAAAACTTGTATTTTTGTATGGTGGCACATGCCTGTAATCCCAGCTACTCAGGAGGCTGAGGCAGGAGAATCACTTGAACCCGAGAGGCAAAGGTTGCAGGGAGCTGAGATCGTGCCATTGCACTCCAGCCTAGGCAACAAGAGTTAAACTTCGTCTAAAAAAAAAAAAAAAAAAAAAGATTATTCGATACTTTTGAGGAATGTCTGAATATATTAACAGAACTACTTTGAATGATCTTGAGCAGTGGCTCCCAGCCTGTGGTCCCCATGGAAGGCTCTCAAGAGACTGATTCCTGGAGAGTGCTAAAGTCATCTGGTCTCCCCTATGTGGATGTTTTTTCTTTTGAGATGGAGTCTCACTCTGTCGCCCAGTTGGAGTGCAGTGGCACCATCTCGGCTCACTGCAAGCTCTGCCTCCTTGATTCACGCGATTCTTCTGCCTCAGCCTCCTGAGTAGCTGGGACTACAGGCACTCGCCACCACACCTGGCTAATTTTTTTGTATTTTTAGTAGAGATGGGGTTTCAACATGTTAGCCAGGATGGTCTCGATCTTCTGATCTCGTGATCCGCCTACCTCGGCCTCCCAAAGTGCTGGGATTACAAGTGTGAACCACCACGCCTGACCTCCTACGTAGATCTTTGTTTGACTCTTGTGCTTTGCTACTCTTGTGGCCTCATTTCTGCCCACAGAACCTGTCAAAGCTTCATTGTGTCTGACTTAAGTTGAATATAAAGTTGGAAGACTTTTTTTTTTTTTTTTTTTTTTAAAGAAACACACTGGAGTACTTCTGCTCACACTGGAGTACAGTGACACAATCATGGCTTACTGCATTCTTGCCTTCCTGGGCTCAACTGGTCCTCCTGCCTCAGCCTGCCGTGTAGCAGAGACCACAGGCACGCACCACTGTGCTCCATTATTATTTTTTTTAACCTTTTTTCTAAGAGATGAGATCTCCCTCTGGCCTAGACTGGTTCTGAACTCCTGGACTCAAGTGATCCTCCTGCCTTGCCCTCCCAAAGTGCTAGAATTACAGGTGTGAGCCACAGTGCCCAGCCTTGGAAGACTTTTTTTTTTTTTTTTTTTTTTTTTTGAGACGGAGTCTCGCTCTGTCACCCAGGCTGGAGTGCAGTGGCCGGATCTCAGCTCACTGCAAGCTCTGCCTCCCGGGTTCACGCCATTCTCCTGCCTCAGCCTCCCGAGTAGCTGGGACTACAGGCGCCCGCCACCTCGCCTGGCTAGTTTTTTGTATTTTTTAGTAGAGACGGGGTTTCACCGTGTTCGCCAGGATGGTCTCGATCTCCTGACCTCGTGATCCGCCCGTCTCGGCCTCCCAAAGTGCTGGGATTACAGGCTTGAGCCACTGCGCGCGGCCGGAAGACATTTTTGAGATTATTAAATCTCCTCCTACTCGGTCTTTCCTTTGTCTGTTGGGTGCATTTCCCAGAACCACCCATCAAACTGTTTTACCATTAGAACATTATGCCATACATATTTAATACATAACGGCCTCCCTCTCCTGCGTGCCTTCTAGTTAATAGCCTCTGAAGCTACTTTGACTATTTTTCCCATTTCCATGTGACAGACTTTCACATATTTTAGGCAGCATCTTTGTTTTTTCTTTAGGCTAAACATTCCACATTTCCTTAACTATTTCTCATACAGTATGCCCTCTAAGCAACAGAATTAAGAGGACTAGGGTAGGATTTTTGTTCTATGGTATTGTTGCCAGCAACAACAGGCTCCTGAACTAGTTAGAGGCTTCTCTCTTTTCCATTAGAAGGGATAGAATTCTTGTTACTTCTCAGATTAGCTCCTTCTAGGGACAAGACCTACTATCTGACTAAAAGGAAGTGAACATGTAAGTGACTGGGGCTGGGAGAGCATGGGGCAGGGACTGGTCACTTCCCACATATTTTCTGTGCTGTGATTTTGGGAGAAAACTGATGTGGTTACGAAGGAGAAAGTATGGACAGCAGAGTGAGCATAATGTGTTAGTCATGAGAATGGCCTTTTTCCGTTGCAGGTTACCCTACCTGTAAAGAAAAAATTAAGAGAAGGCCTGGTGGCCGGTCTGAAGTCATCTATAATTACGTACAACGCCCCTTCATCCAGATGTCATGGGAAAAGGAAGAAGGGAAGAGTCGCCATGTGGATTTCCAGTGTGTTCGAAGCAAATCCCTCACGAATCTGGTAGCTGCTGGAGATGATGTCTTGGAGGACCATGAAATATTAATGCATCACCCACCCCAAGTGGATGAACTTGACCGGCTAAATGCCCCACTTTCTCAGATGGCTTCTAACGACTTTCAGGATTAGGGCCAGCTGTGGGTCTACCCCTTGTGGGAGCCCATCTCACCTAAGATGCCTGCAGCCAGCCCTCCCTCATGATTTATCTCACCCTGAGTAGGAATCATGCTTCTCCCCTATCCTTTTCCTTTCTCCCATAATTAACATGTGTCCTTTCCAGTAAGTCTGTGCCTCTGGCAGGGGATGAAGAAGTACTCAAATTAGCTACCATCTTTGCAGCATCCCTGATAACTTGAAAAATTTGGGTCTGGTGCTGTTCACTGAGTCTTTGTGTAACGGCAAAAGCAGGAAAGGAAGTCAAGACTGTTGCCTTGTGTTTAGCAAAGCAGTCCTTATCCTTTATACTCTGTTCTTGGGTTTTGTTTTTGTTTTGTTTTATACCAGGCAAATTGCTTAGTAGCAAAGGGACCAAACTTAAAAGGTGACAATCTCTAACTTTTAAAAACAGGCACCAATCGGATGCTCATTAGAGGTTAATGAAGATGCCATTCTTGGTGGCCTCTGCACCCAAATTGCATCTGGAAAGAACTAGGGTCTCGTTCAGAATGTCCAGAAGGAAATTCCTAAGAGGTTAAATTCAGATTTGCTTCTCATTAACGCAGCAAACAATTCAAAACCACAGATTCTTTGGCAGGAAGGATAATGGAATAATAATGTTGATGAGACCTTTTTAGCTTCAAGGTTTTGGAGTCTAAAAACAAATGGATGATTCATTTGGAATGAAACTCACAAGTAGAAGAACCTCCAAATCAGGCCAATTGGGTTATCCTGGCTTGGAATCTGGTGTGAAACCATAGGTCTTAACACTCTGGAGCAGCACATTGCTGTGGATGTGGTTAGGAGACCTTAGATATGGCTTAAAGGCTTTTAAGATGAGGACAGAAATTGCTCACAATTGCTCAGTTTCTCAACAGAAAGACTTGTAAGAGTGCCAGCACGGGGTGTATGCAGTGAAGCTGGGTGGGAAGCATCATCTGCACAGTTGCTGTCCTAGCAGGATTTTTCTCTTATCTTTTCATACCATGGGATTTTTGGATATCAGTGTATTTTGGTTCTTGAAATAGCCTAATAGCTGCTCACACATTGGGTAAGAAAATTATACCAATGTCATCCCTAAAGGAAGGGTGAGTTAAATGGAAATTAAGCCCAGTCATTTTATTTGATCAGCTCTATTATCAGTGCATGATCACCCAGATCACCCTTCTCAGCCCCCACAGTGCTGAACCATCTTCCTTCCTCTTCTCCATGGCTATTAATAGTACCGCTAAATTTAGAGTCCAGAGCCAGATAAAAGTATTTTGGGATTATCTCCCAGTTTGTGGTAGAAGCTGACTGGAATACAGGTTGAGTATCTCTTATCCAAAATGCTTGAGACCAGAAAGGTTTCAGGTTTCACATTTTGGAATACCTAACAGTTAAGTACCCGAAATCTGAAAGGCTTTTGAACATCATCTCGGCACTCAAAAAAAAAAAAAAGACTTTGGAGCACTTCAGATTTTGGATTTTTGGATTTGGGATGCTCATCCTGTGTAGGAGAGGCTACTCAATTCCATGTAATGACCTAGTCATAATCATCCAAAGTTAAAAGCCGGGTAGATTTGAAAGCTCTTTCCAGGGCTGAAGAAGTGTTCTTATGTTCTCTACATATGACTGGCATCACTGTGGAAATTAATACTCTGTTCTTCACTAGGATGTAGTAAGTGGTTAAATTGAGCTATTCCCCACCCGATGACTATTGGCATCCATTTGCAAGGCCAATGGCCTGGATTAAGGGTTAGGATTATTTGTAGCTAGAAGGTAATTTTACTTCTATGAAACTAATTGGCTCATATTTGAGGTCAGGTTCGGCCTTGACCTTACCAGTACATTTATACCCACTACCAGTTGACTAGCCCAGATAATTGTTAAATGGTGCTTCCTTTCTGCTTCTCAGTAGACTTCCATGCCATTACAAAGGAAATTTGAATTACCTAGTGTTTGTATATTCCATAATAAGTATGTATAACTTCTGTTTCACAGCTTAGGTATTGTTAACATTTAAGTGTAAACATGCCACAACTAACACTTAAAAATGAAAACTAATTAGTTCTTGCTTAGGGAAAATACCAGGTATGAAGTATGGCATATACTTGACACTGTTCTGTGTAACCCTTTACTTTCCTCAGGCTTTCCAGATTGAGGTCTTTTTTCCCCCAAGTTAGGTTAACATGCATTTAACCCCAACCTGTGGGGTTTCAGTAAGCTGGAAATCTTTGATGGTAGGCTTTCTAGTGTCACGAGGTGGTGGTGACTGAAGGAAAAGCTGGGATCACAGGTTCCTTCTGGTGGAGAGGAAGGTTTATGTCTATGCCCCACCCATCACCCTCCACCTGGAGCTCACCCAAGCCTGCTCCATTCCCAGGGGCAGGCCATTCTGCAAAAGCAGGACCTCTCAGTCCTCACAGAAACAAGGGCTGGGTTGAAGTCACCCCCTTCATATTTGGTTACTGGCCAGATGGGTAAGAGCAATTGTAAAAAGGTGGAACTTGGGTTTGGTGTTTTCTTCTAAGTGCCTAAATAAGCAAGCCAGGCTGTTGAGAGAGAAACATTTTCATAAGAAAATGGTTTTAGCCAGAGTAATCGGCAAGCCGAGATTAACCCGAATCTGAAGTTTAGAATCTTGAGTTTGCATCTGCATCATACCATGCTGTTTCGATGAGGAAACATTTGCCACTGAGGAGGTGGAGGGCGGGCAAGATGACAGTGTTAAAGTGAGTCAGATCATTTAATGGTTTCCCCTAGGCCCTGGAAAGGCTTATAACGTATTGTTAACATTTAAGTGTTCTGAAGTTAAAAAGCAAGGGTTTTTGGCCAGGCATGGTGGCTCACGCCTGTAATCCCAGCACTTTGGGAGGCCAAGGCCGGCAAATCACCTAAGGTCAGGAGTTTGAGACCAGCCTGGCCAACACAGTGAAACCCCGTGTCTACTAAAAATACAAAAAAATCAGCTGGGTGTGGTGGCGAGCGCCTGTAGTCCCAGCTACTTGGGAGGCTGAGGCAGGAGAATTGCTTGAACCTGGGAGGTGGAGGTTGCAGCGAGCCAAGATCGTCCCACTGCACTCCAGCCTGGGCAACAGAGCAAGACTCTGTCTCAAAAAAGAAAGAAAGAAAAAAAAGGTTTTGGCTGGGTGCAGTGGCTCATGCCGGTAATCCCAGCACTTTGGGAGGCCAAGGTGGGAGGATCACTTGAGGTCAGGAGTTTGAGACTGGCCTGGGCAACATAAAAAATAAAAAAATAGCCAGGCATGGACATGGTAGTGCATACCTGTAGTCCCAGCTACTCAAGAGGCTGAGGCAGGATGACTCTTGAGCTCAGGAGGATGAGGCTGCAGTGAGATGTGATGACGCCACTGCACTCCAGCCTGGATGGCAGAGCAAGACCCTGTCTCAACATTTTAAGTCAAAGGTTTGTAGTAATGTATTCAATGCCACTTCTTGCCATCACTTTGCAATTGTTGAAATGGGTATACTGAGCTCAGAAAGCAAATCTGATGCCTTCATGGGAGACGGAGCCATATTTGTGTTCTGGGTGGGATCACTAGTGCAGGAAAACATTACATTTTCTTCTGAAGGCAAAATGCTTGTAGGTTTTGCCTCTTTACTTTGTATTTACTTTTAAAATTGCACTTGTTCACCTACCAGTGTTTACGAAATCCTGTATTTGGGATGCTTTTTCTATAATAAAATATTATCATTTGAGTGTCTGTTTTTTTTTTTAGCAGAAAGTAAAATTAGAAATAAAGATTTGGGCTGGGCGCGGTGGCTCATGCCTGTAATCCCAGCACTTTGGGAGGCCAGACGGGTGGATCACTTGAGGTCAGGAGTTCGAGACCAGCCTGGCCAAGGTGGCAAAACCCTCTCTCTCCTAAAAATACAAAAATTAGCCAGGCGTAGTGGCACGTGCCTGTAGTCCCAAGTACTGGGGAGGCTGAGGCAGAAGAATCACTTGAACCTGTGAGGTGGAGGCTGCAGTGAGCCGAGACTGTGCCATTGCACTCCAGCCTGGGTGACAGTGAGACTCCGTCTTAAAAAAAACAAAAAAAGTAGGTGGGTCTTTGAGGACTTCCCTGCCAAGGTGGTAGTTGAAGCCACAGTATGGAGATCACCAAGAGATCACACGACTGAAGAGGACAAAGGCACCAGCACCAACATTTAAGTGTTGTGGAACTAGTAAGGAAGTCAGGGAGATGGAAGGAGAGTTTGTTTTAAAGGTTAACAGTATGAATGCAGCAGATCAAGATGAGGACTGAAGGGAACCCAATGGATATGGCAGAACACCAGTGACTAGAGGAGTGATAACAAATACAAGCATGTTTTACACAGCAGATAATTAATACTAACATTTCACACATGGGGCAGAGACCAGACGAGCATGGATTAAAGTGGGGAAGTGAGAAAGTAAAAGTGACTGCAGAGTGTTCCTTATGCTCTTCACAAAAGTAATACCTATTCATAGAGCCATGCCTCCACCACAACAGGAGCGTAACAACCAGCCTACAAAACCCTGGACTGCTTGCTTGTTTTCCTTCTGCCAAATCACTGCTGCCTAAATAAAAACATCTCTGGGATGCTTCACTAAGCTACTCATAACTCTGGGTTGGCTTGTCATCACAGTCACATCAACACTAATGTAAATAAGGTGATGCTACATTCCATTAAGCCACTTGGTAGGAATTCTTTCAAACTGATCTGCAATTCGGAACCACAGTGAGCTCCCTGTTGCCTCACCAGACTGCCTGGAACTGAGCTCTGTGCGTCACAGACGCTTGAATGTTGCTTGGGCAAGGTGTCTTATCTCTGAAAATGTGCGTGAAAAAGCATCACGGAGGCCGTTTTTGTCAGTGTTGGCTTTGATGGATCATTCCAGAGAAATATGCTCTGTAGGAAATGAAAATATCATTCACTGAATCCTTCTGAATTCAATTAAAAACACCACTTGGGTTACACAGAAGCCAAGGAGAACCAGGACAAGGCGATCTAAAAAAGTGCTTTCCAAGGAAGTAAGTGACAAAGAGCATTACCTACTGATGGCAGAGGGGGACTCCTATTAGGCTGTATAGATGAGTTTTCAAATTGGCAATCTGTTTTGCAGAATCTGAGTATTAATCCTGAAGCAACTCATGTGAATCTTACTTCTGACTTTTTGTTTTTTTTTGAGACAGTCTCACTCTGTCACCCAGGCTGGAGTGCAATGATGGCACGATTTCAGCTCATTGCAACCTCCACCTCCCAGGCTCAAGTGATTCTCCCACCTCAGACTCCTGAGCAGCTGGGACCACAGACACGTGCCACCACACTAATTTTTTGTATTTTTGGTAGAGGCAGGGTTTCGCCATGTTGCCCAGGTTGGTCTTGAACTAGGCTCAAGTGATCCACTCACTTCAGCCTCCCAAAGTGCTGGGATTAAAGCGTGAGCCATCATACCCAGCCCTTTGAAAGTAATTCTAAGAGCAACAATGGATCAAGCTGGTAACCACCCATCAACACTCAGAAAAGCAGCCAGGGTAACTGAGATGCAGGGGAGGGGAGTATGAAATAAATGCCAATCAACCAAGCCAACTAAAAAGAAAAACAGGTACTGAAGAAAATGGTGATGCACTCCTGAACTGGGAGACCGAATGATATGATTTTGGTTTCATTTTAGTATGCAATAGTTACATATTATTTTCTCACTCCCCCAATGAGAGTAGGAAACAATTTCTGTGAACAGGATAAACACTGAGCCAGTGTTGCCCAACATGTTTCTTAGGATTCATAAGCCTTAGAAAGACATTACCCATTTTGGCTGCATTTAGCTTTCTCTGCCTGCAGTTTCTACTCTTAGTTGGTCTTTGCCCCTCCCTTCTTGACTCCTTGAGGTGCTTTTCCCTACCCAGAAAGGGGCTAATAAGTGGGGCATATGGGACTCCTTCAGTACACAATATCTCAGAGACAGAACCCTGCTCTGATGGACACAGTGCTGAACAATTCCTTTTTTTTTCTTTTTGAGACGGAGTCCCGCTCTGTCGCCCAGGCTGGAGTGCAATGACACGATCTCAGCTCACTGCAACCTCTGCCTCCTGGGTTCAAGCGATTCTCCTGCCTCAGCCTCCTGAGTAGCTGAGACTACAGGCTCGTGCCACCATGCCCAGCTAATTTTTGTATTTTTAGTAGAGCCGGGATTTCACTGTGTTAGCCAGGATGGTCTCGGTTTTCTGACCTTGTGATCCCCCTGCCTTGGCCTCCCAAAGTCCTAGGATTACAGGTATGAGCCACTGCACCTGGCCAACATTTCCATCTTATGAGCTCATGAGATTCCTGGTTGACTCCAGGCTGGGAAAAAATGGGGCTAGGCTGTAAAGGGCTGTACAAAAGGTCCACCAGATGACAGCACTTTTGTCAGGATGTGCCCTTGGCCTTACTGTGAGGGGAGGGCCCACTGCCCTGCAACACTGAGATGGGTGGAAGCAGCACATGCAGTCGGAGCAAGAGAAGTCTCTTCATATGCACAGTGATTCAGGAGACTAGCTCCCTAAGAACAAAAGTCAGTCCCAGCTTCCCTGAGATGGAAAAGCACTTTGCATGAAGATGGTGATACAGTTTTGAAATTAACACTTGAAATTAGGCGTTCTAATGGTTTGTGGACAAAGGGGTTAGTTAAAAGCAGCCACCAGCACTCTGCCTCTAAGTTATATGCCACTATTTGCTTTAAATCACATCACAATCCCTTCTTGGCCTTTTTGCTAAGATCAAATGCAGTATCTGTTCTTATCAGTTTAATAAATCACATCACATATTTCCACTACTGTTTTCACACAGTTTATTCATAAGTTTAAAAGTTAAAATGTGGGCATTTTCCCCTAAAACAAATCATCCCCTGCCACTCCCCCACACAAAGACTCTCCCAACACTGCAGTTACTTCTCTTTACCCAGGCTTACCAAACATTCTT